ACTACAGCACCACGTTCTTGTGTAGATCAAGACAATGTGTGAGGAATTTTAAATTCCTGCCAGGAAGATGACTCTCCACTCCTCCCCTTCCCCCAAATTTCCCCTAACTAATGTATGACTTTGAGCAAGTCACTTCCCCCTCTGGGTCTCAATGTTCTCAACAGCAAAATGTGGGTGTTTTATAATATTAGATGATTTCAAAGGCCCCTCCCAGCTTGAAGCTTTCAAGATAGTTCTGTGATCCTAGGGCATTTTGATGCGGTCAACCATTCTATGAATGCTAACTGATGCTTACGTGGTTCTTCCAGGACTGCTTTGTCTGACTGGTAAGGGCACATCTATAAACAGCAGCCCTTAACACACTGCAACATGGTAAAGCCTTAAGAATGAAACATGCATCTTTATGATCTTTTTTTATTTGATCAGCACAAAGGTGCACTTTAGCTGTGCCTGAATCAGCACAAAGTGACCAGATCTAACCATGCCACCTACTACAGTCTTTCAGAGGCACTGATGGAAAAGCAAAGCTCCTCGAAGTCACACACACATACACACAGGATGGGTAGGCACTATACCTGGGTGGAGCAAAAGGAAATGGGCTTTGGAGTCAGGCCCAGAGTGAATGATCCCAGATCCTCCACTACCTATGAGAACTTAATTAAGGCAAGTTAATCTTTCTGAGCCTCAGTTTCCCATCGGTAAAATGGTTAAAAATAGGTTTTCCTGACAGTGTTGTATGGGTTAAGTTAAAGTAGTGAGGGGTCCTGAGCAGGATCATGGGATTGGTGGGAATCTCTCCCCTTCCTGAGACAGACCGCAGCTTCAAGTCCACTTCCACCAGTGTCATTAGTCTGCCCATTGGTAGCCCCTCTGAGCCTGTTTCCACCATCAGGTCGGGACACCAGCACTCATCCCAACTCCAGGGATTGCTGGTGCTTGGCTCTTAACTAGCAAACCGTCACTTCTTTGGCTTCAACCTCACCCTGTGCCCATGCTAATCTAGCTTCCATGCCTGGCTCAGAGCAGTGGTATAAATGGAAAACACCTTCTCCCGCTGAGTCCTTTGAAAACTCAACTTAAAAAGCCCATGCCCACCCCAAGGCTCTCCTAAGCCAATGCCCTAGCCTCAGCATGACCTAACTGCTCACCAACAGAATCTTGCCTTGCCAGGGGGCATCTTCAGAGTAGCTTCCCTGGGCAAGTTCCCTGGGCTGGCATTTGCTCCCTGTCCTGGGTAAGTCTGTACCCCTTAGAGCCAGGAACTGTGGCTTTTTCATCTCTAAATTTCTCATGGGAAGGGCTGACACAGTGTGGGCTCAGCAAATGTTAAGAAGCTGCACTTTCACCTTTTGGAAAGAGCACTCTGGGAAGGCAGTGCCGGGGCAGGACTAGAGTCCAGGGTGGGGTAGGGACTGGGGTATATTCCACTGGAAGTAATAGAGGACGGTGTAAAAGGACGCTGGAGTCAAAGGATCTGGATTCCAACCTTAGCTCTACCACTTGCCAACAAAGGATCTGGGGAAGCCATTATACCTCTACTTGAGTTGCTCCCACATGTAAGACGAGGATAACAATATCTACTTAGCACAGCATGTGGCACATACTGAGTACTTTTTATGTTCCAGATGCTGTTCTAAATGCCTAAATTAATTTAATCCCTCTACAACTCTAGGAGGTAGGTATCATTCTCATTTTATAGGCACTGTAAATGAGGAAAATGAAAGCTCAGACAAATGAAATCATTTCCTCAAGTTCACAGAGCAAGTGAGATGTTCAATAAACAGCAGCAATGACTGTTCTCAGGCAGCAGTACACGGGACACAATCTCTGAGACCCCAAGGAATGACTAGCTCCAGGCTTTCTGCTTCTGGCCTAGCTCCAATCTTGTTCCCTCAACTGCAGCAAATGACACAGACCAATTGGTGTTGTAAATAGAGTTAACATAATATATTTATTTTAAGTGCCATTCATGCATATCACTTCTGGCAGCAACAATCCTAATGACACTTGGGATATTTCTTTACAGCACTAAACAGTTACAAAGAATGGGTGCTGTTCATGATAGAGGCAAAATATGAAATCGTGCAATAGCAAAACTGTAGAAACATTAAAACACTGACTGTCCAACAGCAGTACAGAGAGCAGATTGTGTCTGCACAAAAAGCCAATGCATTTTCATCACATATATACAATATAGATATGTACACATCACCCTCTGAATGAACAATATCAAAATACTCTATTCCATTTGAAATAATCCCCAGATTGATTCCCTCCCACTTCAAAGGACATCTGAGAGACATGTATTTACAAGAACATACATGAATACATTTACATTTCAAAAACTGCCACAAATGCCAGTCGGATTATTCTCCTGGACAGAGTACCCCCATTTGATTATATGCATTTATGATTATTTTCCCCAAAAGTCTTCAGTCAATTTAAGCCCAAGACAGAACTTGCTCTGCATTTACAACTACCAACTGAGATGGCCACTAGAGGGATGCTCTGCACCTCACTAGGGAGCCTTGTCTGGCTGGAGCCCGTGAGAAAGCCTGTCCTGGGCTCCCTGGCCACATGAATCACTAGTGTGGGATGGGTCTGGATGGAGGCTCTGCCTCCAGGGCCATTCATGGTAAGCTTAAATTCTCACAAAAATATTGATCACTGCAAATCAGTAAATGATTACCAAATGGGAAATTAGCTCCACACAATTTGTAACATCTTCATCAGCGGTTTCTACTTGAATAACTCAGTATAAGCTACTGCATTCTAATACCCAAATTGTTTAAAGTGCACACTGCTACCCATACAATTTATAGTTTCAAAACAGCTATTTTGGTATCTAGAGAACCGTGACTTGAGCAGACTACTGAGAATCACCCCCTTTTTTCCAAGCTTTTACTCTGCAGGCTGCTATCTCATCTTGATTGGCTGCCTTTCCAGAATCCTCTGATTTTTACTGATCCAAGGGGCTGGAACTGAGTTTCCTTTTTCATGCCAAGCAGGATCCAAACAACAGGAATATAAAGCCCTTCCCTCCTCCCCAACCTCACCAACCTTTACCATGGCTGGCTTCCCAGTGATTCATTCAAGGCAACACTCCACTAAAAAAAATACCCAAAGACGTTCGCAAACACTCTCACATACACACACAGAGAAACAAAGGTGTTTGTTTAGTTCAAGTAGAGATTACTCAACCACAGAATCAGTAAGGGTAATTAATAGGCATGGCTGATAGAGACTAGAGATGCTAAAAAGCAACCAGTGAGCAGTTAGTACTCCTTGATTTGATGGAACATCGTTTCCCCATTAGAACTGAAAAATTCTGCTTTTTTCTTCTGGTCTAAAGAACCAATTCAAAATCTATTCATTAAAAAAAGAAATCTCATTTCTCTTAGTTTCATTACAAAACTAAGACAATCAATCCATGCAAAGTAACTGTGAAATAAAACAAAACAAAAAACCAACAACTAATAAAAACCCCTAAGAGGCAGGCTGCATTTCAAAGAAAGGAACCAAACATCATGCATACACAGACACACAGGACAACAGAAACAGCAGGCCACTCAACAGTAACTGCACTGAAGACTGAGGCAAATAAAATCCATGTGTGGCTCTACCCTCCTTTCAGTGCTTCCTAAATGGAAAGAGAATGAGGGGGAAACTTGCTATACAAACACTGCCCTGCTGTTCCGTTGCCCAAATGAACTCTGATTCAAATTCCAGAAAATCCTACTTAGCAAATAAGTCTCAATTAGCAGGAAT